ACAAGGGACCCCCACGACTCATGTCTGGGAGAGGAGCACTAGATGGAAAGGTGCAAGATCTGCAGGGCTTTCTGCCCCAGAATTAAAAAGGAGCGAGATTTCCAATTGAAGCAGCTGCTCATGGAATCCGCCCTTCGTCCCCAGTCTGCTGCGGACCGCCAGGACCCCGCACTGAGCGTGTCCGTATGGAGTGCCCCGGCATGAGTACATGACATGGTGCCGAGGAGGGACTCTAGTCTAAGAGACCCTCGGCACTGGCGTTCTCCGACACCGCAGGATGCACAGACAATCCAGCACCGCTCACGTTCACCAGCGCCATACAAGCAGCATAGAAAAGCCGACGGGGGCACTCCCCGGTGCAGAGAACAGCGGGACCTGCAGGTGTGTGTGGATATCAGGGGTTTGGGGGCAGAAGTCTGTGGCCTGTATGGCAAAGGTTCTTGAGGAGGGTAGGGAGAGCTGCTGTACAGTTCTTGACTGATATTTTTCTATTCTGAATATTGGTGATTAATTTGAGATAGATGGGTTTGAACAATAATTTATACTTCCATTTTTTCCTTTCTCCCTATCCCAAAGCCACTAGTAATTGTGCTGATATGGGAATCTCTTTAGAGAGCTGATATTTTGAATTATGCATTTAATTCCTCATGTATCTCCCCTGAGAGCAATGGCTGCCTATCCTCAGTTTACATTAATTCACTAATTGAATCCAGGGCATGTGCTCATAGACTCTCCTGTAAAATAAGGGTCTGTACAAAGCTTTTCCTCTGAACGTGTATTATTCTGTTTTCTCTTACCTCGTCAAATCTGATACACTAATGACTTCCCTCCCTTCTTGTCCTACACCAGATTTTGTAAAAAGATAATTCTCAAAATAAGACAGAAGCAAATAAATTAGTGCTCAGAATAGCAGAAATGAAGTATATACAAAATGCATTAACAGGATTTGCAAAACCATGTCAAACCACTGATTCATCATGGTGCCCAATTACCTCCTGGTTCTGAGGATGCCTGTCATCCCCTTGCACGTGTGTATATTGCATCTAGTCACTTGTCATACATGGAGATGGGGCAAAAATCCTTTCTATCTGCTGGCAATCAGCTTATGCCCCAGGAGCATGTGCTTTGACTCTAGTAGCATTTATACATAGATTTGACCACTAATAACATAGTTGTGTTTTGTAGCTTTAACACGTAAAGCCTTTGTTTCTAAGCCGTGCATGGTATTCTAGTGCATGCTATGTCTTTCTCTACAATGCACAGCCTCAGGTTAAATGACTGTGTTTCTGATGCAAACCTTCAAACCTTTTTTAGTTGCGGATAGTCCAACTCCTCCTCCACCACCACCTCCAGATGAGATGCCTATGTTTGATGATTCTCCTCCTCCTCCCCCTCCTCCCCCTGTGGATTATGAGGATGAGGAAGCTGCAGTAGTGCAGTACAGTGATCCGTATGCAGATGGAGACCCTGCTTGGGCCCCTAAAAACTATATTGAGAAAGGTAAGAGATCAATCCATACATTGACATGGTGGCAATACATAACTGCAATTTGACTTGTAGGCTCTGAAAGGAAACCAAAATCTCCCTGCTCAATCCAAATTTATAACCATTCTTTCCTAACTTCTCAGTGCCTGTACCCAGTGTAACAAATCTAGCCTTTGATACACTCACACTGGAATGAAGTGGATAAGTAATCCATCATTACAAGAAATAGCTATAAATTAGATTTCATTCATCTTGTTTGTTAAACAATTAGACCAGCAATGGCTGCGTCGGCCCTACTGGATGTCTATCCAGAAATAACTTCATTGAAATACCAGTGGGGCCAAAAAGCCTGATCGCGGGTTTTTCCCCTTGTTGTTGAATAAATGAGATAACAAAGGTAGCTTATGTTAGCCTTTTAACAATAAAATATAGTGATTTTGTTTGAGAAATGCCTTAGAGTATTTTAAATCCTATTTGCATATGGAACTCCTGAGCTCATTCGTAAGACTCGTAATGTTTGTTTCTGCAAATAACTGACAAGCCAAATTCCTAGCTATAGGGTCAGTCTATGCTAAGAAAATAACCAGTTTGTGACAACTGCCAGCAACAGGTTTCCTGTGACCTGGTGTTTAAAATGATTTGAATGCCACCATAGAAAGGGGAAATGTTTCACAGTTAGGGAAAATGTGATAGTGATTGATTGGAGCTGGAAGTATGTTTTCTTCCCTGTAACAGTTAAACTATTATGTTCCATCTTCATTAGTTGCTAAACTGTTTTCAGCACCAGTTTATAGACGACTGAGTGATGCCAACATAGGTTCATTTTACTAATGTGCCCAGACCATAAGTTACTCCCTTCTCCGGATATCTGCCACATGTACGCTCTTGGAACTGACGAAGGAGCATGAAACCGATCAGTGGTACCACTGTAATTACTCACTGTGGAAAGTTTTTCTTCAGCCTGCCCTCTGCCCCAACACAAATCCATCTTGCATCCATTAAAAACTACATTTAAGGTTGAAATGTCAAGCACTCTACACTTAGGAAATGCCAGAATTCAGGCTTCTTGTGCAACGCTAATTTGGCCGTCTTGTGCATGTGGCTTGTCTTCATTTACATAATCATACTATTTTTTCCATAGGACTCCTGCCTCTCACTGAATGTACAGGATGAAACGTGCTCACTGAATCAGCACTTCTTCCATAGTTGTATGCTAAGCATTCAATGTGGCGCCCCAGGCATTATTTGCTTTGCACCCTCCAAACCCTGAACTGAATACAGAATTGTTAATTTTCCTCAGTGGCTGCTCTTTGGTGCCCACATCTTAGTTCTTCACAAACCATTAATTATATCTTCAGTACCCCTGTAAGATGGTGCTATTATCTCCGTTTTATACAGGGGGAAATGAGGCAAAGATTAAAGTAAGAAGTGTCCACTAAATTTAGGTGCACAATTTGAACAGCATAGGGCCTTATTTTTCGGAGTACTTAGCATTTTATAGCGCTTTACATGTTCCAAACACCGCTCCCATTGACTTCAGTTGCAGTTGAGTGTGCAGCACTTCCATAAATCAAACACTAGTGGCCACTTGTCAAAACTTTGGTTTACACGTCTTGCCTAATATCACATAGGAACCCGGTGGCAGAGGCAGTGATAGAAGGAATCTAATTCTCTAGAGCAGCATTCAACAATCTTAACCACCAGACCCTCCTCTCTTTGATGCAGTTTTTTTCCTCCTGTGCTACATACCTTCCAACTTTTGCAACAGTTGAGGCAGGGGTCCTACAGCCAACAACCTTGATTTATTACCAGAGCACAGTTCAGCCTGCGCCCTGAAGGTCCTATGGAAAAATATAGTATGTGGTCATGAGTTTAAAAATTATTAAAATGTAAACTGGGGGCCAATTTAAGGTTGTATAGGGAACCTCAATTTTGGAATTTCCTAATTCTTGAGTGATTGCAACCTTAATTTATTTGAGCTAAAAATCTCCTAAATTAAAATAATTAATCTTAGAACTAAATTCACCACCACAGGAGTAATCTGCAGGGTTGGAAACTAGATCCACAGCACTGTCATATGCTGCTTACGATAAGTGGAAGCTGTTAAAAGGCATATCTTCTACGTGGATCTGATTTCTTTAGGATTTTCACTAAAAGCTATACTACATAAACATGGCCAGCATTTAGTGAATAGCTACTTTTATCCTTGGTAAGGTTCTACTCTACAAAACTATATAAATAGTACCTTAACAGATGTGTATTTCAGGTTATATCTCCTGTGACAAACCGTGTTGTGGCTACAAGGCTAACAGTTTACACTTCTTTTTTACACCTCAGTGAACTGGATTCTGTTCCTTTTCATGCATCTCAAACATTTTCTATGTTCTACATTCCAATCAGTTACATCTGTGGAATCCAAAAGTTTAATTGATGGCCGAACTGGACCTGTACACCACCTTTACTAGTGGTGATGTTATGAGGAAAATCTATGTTGACTCTCCAGATTTCATATTGAAGGGGTGGGGGAGATGACTTTCCTGTATCTAATATGCTCAGTTTACAATAATCACTGAGACCAACACTGAAAACCCTGAGATGTCCTTACTAGTCACTTTAAAAATGAGACCTGCACTTCAAAATGCTGTGTATTGTGTAATAGTACATGCCAAACTAATTTGTCTGACTCTTTTCATCCCTAGTTGTTGCTATATATGACTACACAAAGGACAAGGATGATGAGCTGTCATTTATGGAAGGTGCAATCATTTATGTGATAAAGAAGAATGATGATGGGTGGTATGAAGGAGTTTGCAATCGAGTGACTGGCCTGTTCCCTGGGAATTATGTTGAATCAATCATGCACTATGCTGATTAGAATCTTTGCTTTTTAAGTTGGGTCTTGTATTCAATCATACCATGATTATTTACAAGAGGGAACTAAAGGTTAACAATTGTCTTAATACACTTTAAAAAAAAAAAGTGCCCATCTTTTCAGGCTATACTGTTTTAATGGTATGATTGAAGAATGTCCATCTCCATAAGCATAAATCTTTGGAGACAGGTTTGTCTTACCTGATAGCAATTTGTAAAACAAGCAACTGTCTTCTTACTGGTTATGCTTATTTACTTACGCATTGTTAATTTTATGACCAGCCTAAATATTCTTGGGAAGTAGGGTATAATATTTAATGAACCATGATTCAGATTGTGCCATTACATTTTTCAGTGCAGCATGGTAACTAACATTAAGTTAGACTAACATTAAAATCTGGGTGAAAAGTTTAATGTCAGTGCTGGTCATATTACTTTTTGTTAGACTCTTGCTCATTCTTGAACTATAATTGTTTAAAGCATGCATACAAACTTATGTATTGAAATATACTTTTTTAAAAATCCAAGATGCTTCCAATTTGTTGTAAACTTTACCTGGAGTACTCACTAAAATCTATTATAATGAATTGCTTGAGTCTCTAAGGTGTCCATGTGAATCAAAAATGGGTGGTCTTATGTATGTGTAATTTGTACCAAGTTTTTTTAATGAGTAAATTTGCATTACAACTTTTCCATTCATAAATATATAAGTGGAACCAAAGGTCTTGTCCATTACTTTGTCAGCACTTCTAATTGCTTGGCTAAGTCAGTCAATTTATGATTGTGTTATCACTAGCAATGTACTAAACTAAATACAAGTGTTGTAGCCTTATTTTTAACATTGACATTAGTGGGCAAATATATAAAACCTGAAAATTATCCACTTACCACAAAGTTCTTTCAAAATTATCTTGTGTAAAGGGTTTGAGTACTGCTAAAATTAAGTACTTGAAAAAGGATTCTCAGCTGAGTGTTGAACTCATTGTAATTTAATAATTTATTTCAGTTTTGCTGCAACTGACATTACTAAACACAAACTGTATGCTGGAGAAATTTTGTATTTTGAAGCTGATAATACACCAAATAGGTGTCAGAGTTAGCAGTCATACAGAAAGAGGGGACAGACATTCACAGCCTGTTTACTGGAAAATGACACATGCATTTTGCCTCTCCACGGCATTATGGGAATTTAGGCAAAAAGTCAGATGGGATGTTCACCTCAGTTTATACAAAACTGTAATGCTTGGCTTATCTGAAGTAGAGTATGCAGTAAAGGTTTGTTTTGGACTTCAAAGTGCTAAAAGACTAGCAGCTGGAAGCTTGATTGGTTGCTGCATCATTTTTTTTCTAGTGTAAAATTAGAAATATTGAAACTTCCCCACCTTCCTCCCTAAAATCATTGTAACTTCCAAATGCTTTCTGCTTTAACTGTTAATCTCACCTTCTGAAAAATTAGCAACCGATAATTTACCTGTATTTTCTTTATCAATTGGAAAGTCTTCACTTAATTTGTATATAACTTGTTAAAGTTTATGTACAGTCTTTTATAATAAACCATTCTCCTATATAACATTTTGGGTACTTTTGAAGTTTAACACACACAGCTTGGAAAGCAATCAAACCATGGTTTCGCAGTAAACCTTAACATTAAATATTACTGTAAGTGTGAAGTGATATTTTGAACCCATTAATTTTAACTGATCTTTATTCTCATTGTGGCCTTGTACATCAATATTAAGTGTAAACAATACTTCCCACAACAAACACCCTTATTAAAACACAATTAGACAATTAGCACAATAAGATTGATTTTGTTTCATAGTTGTATGGCTTCCCTCAAACATCTTCATAAACTTAAAGTATATTAATTTCAGAAAATATTTTATAAAAATATTTTTTGGTAACCAGCACTGGAAGCAAACCACGATGTTTTGAAGTGTAGTTTTGTAGGCACAGTCTGGTAAGTAGCTGCCAGAATGAGTGGAAGAAGGTGTATCACTTGTCCCGGGTGAGTACAGTTTCTGTGAGCTGAATGAGGGCATCTCTTTCAGGGGATGGCCGGAGTTTACTAATCTCTTTCATCGCTTCATGGCAGTAGCGTTGGGCGAGGTAGGTTGTTTGCTGTACACCATCACTCTTTAAGGAAAAAAAAATTAAATAAGGTAATACATAGTAGTAGTAATTATTTCCATTGCTACATGTAAAACAGCAGTGCTGTTGGAAGTGAGTTAGTGTCTTAGGGCTTGGCTACACTTGCGAGTTAGAGCGCATTAAAGCGCCCTAGCTCACGGGCAAGGCATGTAGAGCGCTCTGACACCACAGCTAGAGTACTCTACTGTGCTGAGAAGATTAATGCTTGCTGTGTCTTGGCTGAAACGCCCAGAGGTCAGCATGAATGAGGTGTTGCATTCCTGTGCTCTGATCAGCCTCTGGAAATGTCCTATAATTTCCTTAAATCAAGTGGCCACTCTTGTCATTGTTTTTGAATTGCTGCAGGAATGCAGATATACCCTTTGAAAGCTCCCTTTCTGACAGCCTGCTGCTTATCTGCTCCAAGACAAAGCAACCATTAGTGTGGAATTCTGTGCGTGTGTGAGAGGGAGGCAGGGGGGTCTGCTGCTGTCTGAATTTACAAGACACCATGCTGACATGCTCTCAGCCCTCCCAAAAACCCACATACACTCATCACCACCCCCGTTTGAAAAGCACGTTGCAGTCACTTGCATGCTGGGATAGCTGCCCATAATGCACTGCTCTCAATGCTGCTGCAAGTGTGGCTATGCCAGTGTGCTTGAAGCTGTCAGCATGGACAGACTGCAGCGCTTTCACTACTGCACTCTCTGAAGGCGGGTTTAACTCAAAGTGCTCTACATCTGCAAGTGTAGCCATGCCCTTAAGCCCTCTACATTTGCTCTAGTCACAGACTGGATTTAAATCAGCAAGCAAGAAAGCTTGATTTTAATCTTGTTTTACATTTACACTTCAGTTATTTTCCTGAAGAAAGGTTGATTTCATTCATATAATCTGGTACTACTTGCTAACCAGGATACAGTATACTTAATATAATTGCTTAAATGGGTATAACATAATCAGATTCTTGATTTTAACTTTTGATTAGAAAGGGGCCCATGGTACATTCTAGAGGTGACTAATTTTTGAACTCATGACTTGTCAAGGTGCATTTGAGTGGAAATTGGGATTCAAATGCACAAACAGTAATTGTTTCGCACTGTTAAACTACCTTTTAAATGTGCAGCATAAAGACAAATCAAAACATTTTGCATTTAAAACTGATTTATTAAACAGGAATATCTGTGGTTAGTGAATTAAACTGAGTACTTCTGGTTGGTCATGTCCTATGCAAACGTCCAAATGCTGCAAGTTTAAATTTGACAGATGTATTCTCATTACACAATACTCTACCTCTAAAATCTTAGTTTCTAATGTTAAATTATTAAACTGGAAATCTTTTAGCAGGGCCAGATTTAAACTAATAAGCAATGCAGGCTCTCTCTTGACTGTACCTATGTTTTTTGTACCCCTTAAACATAGCTACTGTTCAGTACCAGGAACTGAGTTCTTGGAATCTGACCCTCTTGGATCCAGTGCATTAACTATTAGAGGTATTGCCGCATCTATCTAATCCAGTAACTTGCCTCTCCTCTCTTCCTCTTAAGTACTGTGCCAGCAAGCTATTTTTCACCCCAGGAGCCAGCAAAGTTTGAATACATGTGCAACACTATCTTTTGATTACATCCTGTAGTTCAGTGTTCTCAGCCTTTCTAGACTATTTTATCCCTTTCATGAGTCTGATCTGTTTTGCATAGCAAGTTTCACCTCATTTAAATGACTCTTATCAAGTCCCAGCCCACTATTACTGAAATAGTTTACTTTCTCATTTTGTTTGTACTGACTTTAATAGTGCTTTAGGTAGCCTCTTATAAAACTAGGCAAATATCTAGATGAGTTTAATGCACCCCTGGAAGACCTCTGTGTACCCCCAGGGGTAGTCCTGGTTGGTTGAGAACCACTCCTAGAGTTACATGCTTTAAAAAAAATACAGCCCTACCATCTGTGGCTAATTCATGCAATGAATTCTAGACTGCCTCTAGCTGCTACACTAATTTGAAGAATTAAATATATTTATACTTCATACTAGTCTTACCTGAAGTACATATTGCCGAGCACGTTCAACATCACCTGGCAAACTGAATCTCCTCATGATCATAGCATTCATTTCTGGAAACTAAGCATGAAGGAGAAAATTTAACTATTGACTTATGCAATGTTTTCTCTGCATAGCTGTCTGTTACATTAATGTCAAAAGGCAGATAAAAATGTACTAGATCCCTGGACCTAGTCTATTAATACAACCTCAAACAGTCTAATAGAGGCTTCTACTCTACTCAGGTGTCTTGAGGGTCACTGACTGACTTTGGGCCTCTTATCTCATTTGTACAAGGATAACTTACCTGCTTTGAAAAAAATGCTTTAGAGCTCCTCTGATGAAAGGTAATAAGAATACAAGGCATGGGGTAGAAGCTTCACTTTCACACAGCCTCCAGTAACTAGATTATTTCTTCCCCCCCTCCCCCTGCACATATTACGTGCTGCATCTCAGGTTTAAGTTTGTGTTGGTTTTAAATATAGATGCAGTAGGGATCAATGTAGTACAGAACCTGTTCTTTTAAAATAGTTAAGGAGCAGAAACCAACCCTCTGGATATCTTTGGGGGGGGGGGGGGAAGTCATGGTAAATCTTGGATGTAGTGTAAATTAGATGCCTCTCCCCAAGAAATGGGGCACAGCAAGATAAGACACAGCCATTCAAACATAACTGAACCTGGCCCATTTGATGTGCATCAGACTTCCTAATGTGCTAAATATTTAATTAGAATTGGACCCAGATTAGATCCCCACCCTTACTGAATATGGTAGATTTGAATTAAATGGGCAAAGTAAGGGCTGTTTTCCTCCTCTACTTGTAATCATCCCTGCAGGTAATATCTAGCTCAAAATTCAATACCAAACCAAACCACTGTCTATGGCAACAAAACAGCTACAGTGGGGGTGGGCGGGCGGGCGGGGGGGGGGGCGGCTATACAATTGCACTACAGAAATTTTGGGCTCAGGCAGGCTGATCCAGGCCAGCTGTGGGTGTTTAAGTACAGTGATGAGAGGGTATACATGTTCAGAAATGCATACTAAACTCTTCCTGTTTACATTCAAGGATGACAGCATAGGTATCTATCTTAATACTTAATGTAGCTAATAACTCTGGCTTTTCATATAAAATCTGAACATTTAAAAAGTAGGATACTGGTGTTTTCAGCCTCAAAAGTGTGGTTAATGAGTAAAAGTCTTACTCTACAACTCTGCCAGTCTAAAGTGCATTGTCTGGGTAAATCACTGTCAAATCCAAACAGCTGCTAGCCCTTACTTCCTCCAGATGTTGTATTTTAGAACACATTATTTCACAGCATGCAGGAACTTCAGCATCACTGTGCTGCTTTATAAAAATAAAGTTATTTTTTCCTCATCAGGGAACAGCTATGATTAAGCTAAATTTTAACTTGTGCTATACATTTGTAAAGCATTTTCAGCACCAATCTGTAACTTGAGAAATTTTGTATTGGGGACCTACATCTCTCCCTAATGACAATGTTCCTCTTACTGCTTTCAAGCAATTTCCTTAGGCAGAACCTACAACGGTTAGTGCTCACTGGGTTTTCTATCAATTCCAACTTTCTTACTGTATTATGGCAATTTTAATTACAATTTGCATATTATTCATCTCTGGTAGTTTTGCAAGACTGTCAAAGCACTAATAACCTAACTTGCAAAAATATAGAAAAACCAGACAGACCTTTCACGCAGTTATTTTTAACCTTAAAATCTGCATATAACAGCTAATGTATAAATCTTTGAAAAGAGTGCTTATTAATTCTAAAGTCACCTCTTAAAAGAATAGGATTGCAAATGTATGAGAATTTAATGTTTAACTATTCTGTGCAAAAATGAGAAATTCCCACTTCTTGGTAAATTCTCTTAAGGGAACCAAGATGTAGCCTGCAGCTTTCATTTCAATTGTTAAAAAAACTTGAATACAGTCACATTATGCAGAGCTGGGGCTGATGTTACATTTATACATATAAATTTTAAGAAATCTCACACTTCTAAGTCAACTTTAAATGCATAAAAGTGTTGATCATTTATTTTATAACACTTTTCTGTGAAAGTGGAAGCCAAAGGCATTTCCAAAGCTATAATGACTTGTGTTTGTAAAAGCATCTTCAACATATGGACATAACAGGTTAACTGCTGGCTAAAATGGTAGGAGGAAGAGAAGCAGATGTATATCTTTTGCCAAAGAAAAATTAACCTTCAGGGAAAACCCTTTACAGGTTTTAGACTGAGTTTTTCTTCTTCAAAGGGCTTGTTTTACATAGCCCTGCAGTTCAGACTAGAGGGGTGTGAATTGCACTGCACAGACACAAACTAAAAGATCCTAGTTCACATTAATATAATCCTGCTGCAGAGTCCCCCCAGGAGCATTACAGTGTGGCACTTTGTTGCATACTGCTAATTCCTATCCCAAGTGTGGGGGATGTGTTGACAGCCTCCATGCAAATAGATGTATAACATTTATTGCTACTAGTACAAATAAGAAAAGGAGTACTTGTGGCACCTTAGAGACTAACCAATTTATTTGAGCATGAGCTTTCGTGAGCTACAGCTCACTTCATCGGATGCATACCGTGGAAACTGCAGAAGACATCATATACACACAGAGACCATGAAACAATACCTCCTCCCACCCCACTGTCCTGCTGGTACAAATAAGTGTCTGATTACATAAGTTTTAAAAACTGGATCTGGGAATGCAAACAAACACATTACTTAAGCCTGTAGCATGGCTCAGTACGAGTTGCTTGTAAACAGCAGGAAATTGTCAATGAGGAAGCCTTCCACTGGGCATAAAAGGCCTTCCAAAATGTTCTGTGGAAGGACAGCCAGATGAAGCATTGACAATTGCCTTCTGTCATCAAGATATAAAGAGTGAGTGTGAAAGGGGGAACACTAATAAGTAGCCTGTAACCAAAACACTGGACTTGTGATCAATGAAAATTCTAAAATGTCAGTTTTTTAACCTTTATTTTAATATTAGAAACTCAAGTTGTGTCTACTCTAGAACAATTCATAAAATGCAAACAGAGTCGAACCAAAAGCTGATTAACTGAGTAAGATGGAAGTATGGCTAAGAGAATGGATCCTGTACAGCTAATTTTATCTCCTCCAGTTTCTTCCATTACTATACTGTGGCCAGAACGAAGAATTACAAAGCTGCTAGTGACACTTACCCCCAGATGATTTGAGAATAGAAGCCGCCTTAAACGACTAAACACAAGTAGTACTGGGAGACTACTGGGTCTTGGCCATACAGAGGCTGAAAACTAGATTTTCATGCCATCTGCCACAATAATCTTTACTCTTTTAGGATCTTACTAATTTTTTTTTTCAACAAGAAAGGTGCCACTAACATTGTGTACCTTGTGACAAGCAGAACCACACAACCTTAGTGTGTAAACTTTCTCCCCTTTGCCTGATGTCACCTCTCCATGCCCTTTCTATCTTAGATCCTAAGCTTCTCAGGGTCAGGTACTATGTCTTTAACCACTCTGTAGAGCAGGGGTTCTCAACCAATTTTATGGTAGCCACAGAGTGTGGCCACCAACTCTTGCTGGTGGCCGCTCTGACAAACCAGTCTGTCTGACTCCCATGGCTCTTCCCTGAGAGCCTGCCCCAGGGAAGGTGGGTCAGGAATTCACCAGCCACCTGTGGAGTCCCAGGCTCCCCATGCCCCAGCTGCCCGGAGCAGGGGAGCTGCCCAAGGGAGTGCCCTGGTAACTGAACGCTGCAGCTGCCTCCACTGCCAAGAGCCACATCCAGTACCGCACACACCAGCCCCACATGGCTCCTGAGGCGCTTCCCAGAACCCCCAAGGAGGCTGAATGGTGCAGGGCACTGATCCCTGTTGGCAGTGCCAGCACAAACATCAAGGTGGCAGATTTTGCTGCCCTTGGTAACAGCTAGTCAAGAGCAACAGCTGGGTGCTGCAGGCAGGGGCTGCTGCTTTGCTTCCCATCCCTCCCCTCCCCCAAATCTCCACCCACCCATGCTTTGAAGGCTGTCATGGCTGCAAACCAATCTACTGGTGGCTGCTTTTGAGAAACACTGCATGCCATGTGCACCTATGATGTAATATACAAATGTAAATAAATAAAATACTAAGTTAATAAAACAGGTTCTGGGTCAGACTCATCAGCACTCTACAGATCAATCAACTACACAGATTCTTGTAACAGTGCTGTGCACTGTGTCTGCCTGCGCTGTGGCAGTCTGCAAGTGTCTTCCCTTTTCTGTCCACTTGCTGTTCATTTCTATGCTGCATCCTCTTTCTGTACTTTGCAACTGTCGCTGTTCCTTTTTTCTGGTGTATGTGCCTCTCTTCCCTTTTTCTCTAGAAAATCATCACTAAGTAAAGAGAGACCTTACAGGGTGGGTACGAGTTCTCGTGACTCCTTGAGGATTTCCCATTGAAACAAATGGAACATGGAGGGTTTTGTTCTCAGGGGCCACTAGACATCGCTCCCTTTCTATGTGGCCTGTACCATCCCTGCCTTCCTGTCTCTTCTAAAAGGCGGCTCTCTTGCCATACCGTCCTTCCCCTTTGTGCAAGTGTGGACCCATATTAGTCTCTGACTCTATTTTTGTTCTGGAAGATGTAAGGAAGGAAAAAAACCACACTTATCTAAGCTTGTTCTAACTCATTTCTCTTCAAGCCCTCAGTAATAATGGTCCACTCTCCAATGGAGAAATGCTGAATGCAGCTCCCGCTGGAGCCAGTCAATGCCAGTACTTGTTTCATTAGGTAAGAGGAGAAGAGATCCTTCCAGCTATGTCCTAAGCATATTTTAAATTGATTAGATTTCAAGTTGATAGTATCCCTTTAACCCAGCAGGTTTTATTATTTTTGGAGAATGTTCTTTAAACCTACCTGTTGGCAAGCAAATAAAACAGGGCCTGTGGCTAATCCAAGTTTGAGATCTGCTGCTGCTGGTTTCCCCAGTTGGTCAGCACATGATGTAAAATCAAGCACATCATCTATTAGCTGGAAGAAGACAAACACAAAAATTTTTTAGCACATTAAAAACAACCAACATTATACAACACATTTTAATTGCTGTGTCTAGTTAAAAAGATTTATGTAGCGAATTACAGCAATCCAGTTTGCTTTCCAATGTAGTTTTGAGAAGTGTGCATTTTAGACTTCCCACTAATTCTGTAAAAGCAACAGAATACACTACCTGAAAAGCTATGCCAACATTTTTTCCATACTGGTATGCAATCTCATGAACTTTTGGATCAGGGCAGCCTAGTATGGAAACCTGAAAGGAAAAAGAAAAGGGACAGCTCTAATTATTCATCTGCAACTTGTTTGTTTTTATGTGCAACATAATAAGCACAGTGAACATCTGGGACAGGGGAAGAAGCCACATCTAGAGCATTCTTCCCCATCCCCAATTCCCTGTTTATGCGCACACACAAATATCTAGGCCCATTAGAAAACACAAAACCCAACAGAACTGCAGTATTAAATTCTGGATAGAGATTAACTTTATTATGGTTACAGAGTATACTGTAAGGAGAGGGAATGCAGCAGGAGGAGATGTTACACATGTAGGTTGTCTAATGCAGTTCAGCAACACAGGGCCTGAACATAATTGTTAGGAAGATAGGGCTCAAGTAGGTAGATGGATCTTACAAGCCTCCCAGTAACAGAGACTATGGAGTTGGAAGAGTGGTGCCTAAGCTAGGACAGGTGAGAGAGGGAAGATTATTTTCATGGGAGATGTTAACTGTCCAGAAATGAACTATCAATAGAGATGTGCTGATAAACTTGAAATTTCCACTGAATTATTGGGGGGGGCGGGCGGGGGGGGGAGTTGGTGGCAAAGGGGGCTGGGATGGGAAAGGCACGTAATACTAGACCAAATCATCACTGGTTTTGAACAAACCATCAGGAATCTTGAGGTTCAAGAACTGATTGAACTGCAGCCATACTATGGTAATGTGGCTCTTTGTCCATGAGTAGCAGGCAGAAAAAAAATCCCCTATGTAATCCTTGGGGAAAATACATTAGCATTTTACTTAAGTGCACACAAACGGATGAACTACTCTGAAATGTTCTCCAGCGAACACTTTAACCTCCCTGGTCACTCAATTTCAGACCTAAGAGTCGCAATTCTCCAACAAAAAACCTTCAAAAACAGACTCCAACGAGAAACTACAGAATTGGAATTAATTTGCAAACTGGACACCATTAACTTAGACTTGAACAGAGACTGGGAGTGGATGGGTCATTACACACAGTAAAAACTATTTCCCCATGCTAAATTTTTTCCCCCTACTGTTACTCTCACCTTCTTGTCAACTGTTTGAAATGGGCCATCCTGACTATCACCACAAAAGTTTTTTTTTCCCTCCTGCTGATAACAGCCCACCTTAATTGATCGGTCTCGTTACAGTTGGTATGGCAACACCCATTTTTTAATGTTCTCTTTGTGTATATATATATATATCTATATATATATCTTCCTACTGTATTTTCCACTGCGTGCATCCGATGAAGTGGGTTTTAGCCCACGAAAGCTTATGCTCAAATAAATTTGTTAGTCTCTAAGGTGCCACAAGTCCTCCTAGTTGTACTAGTGTAACTCTCCATGGAATAACCATAGCAACATAACTATACTAGTATAACTTGAAAAACTCTCCTATGCAGGCAAGCCCTATGTCATCAGAGTCACAACAGATCTGTTGCAAAGTCAATCTTATAGGAATTCCGATAGCTTCCCCACTAAACCTGGGTTCAAAATTCTTACTCCTAAATTCAGTCTTCCAAGATAAAGAAGATAAGGAACCCTTCGTAATAGTTCTTACACTACAATGAGACAACTCAGTTTACTTAAAACTGTATTTCAGAAACATTGTATTTTTTTTAGAACTAGGAACAATTTCCCAGATGTTATAAGCAAGGCTAAGATGCCATCTTGCCACTCTGATTTCAAACAGTGTTCATGAACTAGCCCCTCAGAGCTGATGGCTATATATATATATATAAAATCCCTTGTTATTTACTACTCATAAATTAATACTTCAAATTCCAGTTACTTTGTTGTATGGGAATCTCTTCCACAGAAAGTAGATTATCAAACGGAAATGACTTTAGTGAATTTTTTTTAAATGAATGAGGGGATTTATCAGACATTCTGTAATAGTGTCTGATGCACCTGATACAGTACTTCTATTCGCTCAAACCTGTTACTAGACTTTACAGTTTATTTTAATGTGCATGCGTAGCTTGAGGTGGTTCTGTATCATCAGTGACATTATATTCTTTAATATGTCAAGAGGAGCGAACACAGTTTAGGCTCCAATTCTGCACTGAGTTATGTGCAGTGGACCCCCATGAGAGACACCCAGTGGAAGTTTAAACTTAATTAAATTTGGAATCGTTGGCTAGATAGAGACGTACAGATTCTTCCTTTCATTGTACTCCCTATGACAAATCCTTATGGCCACACAGAGCTCTGTTGAGGTCAGTGGGGCTCTTTGTGGGTGCAGGGATATGCATGCACAGATCAGCTTGTAGGATAAGAGCCAAAGTCTGTAAAAACTGGAGTCCTGCTGATGAAGCAGGAATCTCTGATGCAATTTTTATACTTACTTCAATGAAGAAATATTTTTAAAAAAATCCCTATTTTGAAAGTATCTTATACAGAATGCAAATCTTTACCTGGCTTTGAAATCTAATTATAGCAGGAAAAATAGGCAAGAGAGGGAGAAGCTGCTAAGCTTATTTGGTGTCTCAGGTTTCTCATGACAGCTGGGAATTCCATTTGTGCTTCATTGCTGTGAATTCCTGAACGCCTCCACTCCCATACTGTCTTTGAAAAATGCCTTTCAGTAACTCAGGCTACAGTGACTCTCAGGGCCATCTGCCACTATTTACTGAGGCCGGCATGTACTACTCCGGCCGTAGCGTAAGCACACATCTACCATGTAGTTAATACACACTGGAGATTGTGACAGCTTTAGGCCCTTGATAGACTGTTTATTTAGTTACCTCAATGGCATTTTGGTTCTAATGTAACATTGCTTTGGAGATGCAGACGATAAACTAGTTCAGTTACAGGAAAAGACCATCCGTATCCTGTTGAGGCACTGTCCCAGGAACACACCAATCGTCCTTCCTCTAGATCAGGGGTCGGCAACCTTTCAGAAGTGGTGTGTCGAGTCTTCATTTATTCACTTTAATTTAAGGTTTCGTGTGCCAGTAATTAACAGTTTTTAGAAGGTCTCTCTCTAGAAGTCTATATATTATATAACTAAACTATTGTCGTATGTAAAGTAAACAAGGTTTTCAAAATGTTTAAGAAGCTTCATTTAAAATTAAATTAAAATGCTGATCTTACGCCACCGGCCCGCTTAGGCCGGCAGCAGGCTGAGCGGGGCCTGCGGCTGGGACCCTGGCTGGCAAGGGGCCGGCAGCCAGGACCCCAGACCAGCAATGGGCTGAAAGGCTCAGCCTGCTGCTAATCTAGGGTTCTGTCTGCCAGCTCCTGCCAGCCAGGGTCCCGGCTGCCGGCCCCATTCAGCCCACTGCCGGTCTGGGATCCCGGCCCTGCCCACACAGAGTGGGTACCTACCTTCTCCCTGGTTCTAGCCCATTCTCTTCCTCTCTGCACTGAGCTGAGGGTGGGAGTGCACTGAGCACAGGGCTGGGGTGCAGGGTCTGGTGAGGAGGTAGAATGAGGGAGGGGCTCAGGGTTGGGTGTGGAGTGCTTACCTGGGCAGCTCCCATTTGGTGCGGGGGGGGGGGAAGGGAGGCGAGAGAGAGAGTGTGTGTGTGATATATATATATATATATATATATGGTGGGGTGCAGAAGCTCCCGTTTGGTGCTCAGGGTGGGGGGTGCAAGAGTCAGGGCATGGGGGGGGTTCACGAGTCAGGGCAGGGGGCATGTGAGGAGGGTGCAGGAGTCAGGGCATGGGGTGTGGGGGGACTGGAGTCAGGGCTGGCGGTGTGTGTGGGGGGTGCCGGGGTTAGGGCAGAGGGCTGGGGGTGTGGGGTGCTCCCAGCCCCCTGCCCAGAGCGGCTCACAGCAGGGGGCTGGAGGGGATATGCCCTGATTCCACCCCCCTTTCCCAAGGCCCCATCTCCACCTCTTCTCCGCCTCCTCCCCGGTGCAGCGAGTGCGCTGTGGCTCTGCTTCTCCCCCTCCCTCTCGAAGGCCATCAGCTGATCGGCAGCAGGGAGGGAGAGGAGGAGGGGCAGGAACCCAGCACGCTGGGGGAAGAGGTGGGGGGAGCTTGCCTGCTCTGCAGCAGCAGCTGCTGGCAGGACCAAGTTTCTTCACCCTGCCCCCGTGTGTGGGGCGGCTGAGAATAGCGGGCCAAGGCGGACAGGATTTTTAATGGCACGCTGCTGCCTGCCAGGGTTCTGGCCTGGGTTTGGCAGCAAGCTGAGCAGGGCCAGTGGCTGGGACTCAGCAGGCAGCAGCATGCCATTAAAAATCGGCTCGTGTGCCGTCTTTGGCATGTGTGCCATAGATTGCTGACTCCTGCTCTAGATTCATTCTAACTAAAATCCCATTAGAATTAGTTTTTGCCATTTTTTTCAGCCAATATTTTACCTGATTTATATGAAACTGGAAACAATGAGTGTCTTTTCCTTCCCTTAACACAAGAACTGAATTGGCTCATGCTAGCAGGACTTATCCTAACTGATATTCTTAATCACCAATAATATAGCCTTAGTTTGGCCTTGAGAATGAAGTCATCTTCACTTAAACACTTGGACACTTAAAAGAACCCACTTCCAAGCTACAGATAATGATTCTGCTGACCATTCTTCTGGCTACGAAGAGCTGAACTCCTTCTGAACCCATCAGCTCTCCTTAAATAGCCCAAACTGTCCCATGAAAGTGTGCTCCAGGCACTTTCTGCCACTCATTCTATCAGTACCATTCTTCCCATCCTTGCTGACCTATGAAGAAAGAAACTGCAGGAAAGACTAAAAAATGTCATTGTCATAGTGTGCAGAGCTATAGTTTTGCCCCCAAGGATAATCCCCCCCCATACTTTTATTTATAAATATGATTTTGCTGCATCCGAAATGCTAAATTTCCAGTGGTGGAAGCCATAATTATGCACAGTAAAAATACAGGAAGGCAACAGTAAAACAAGCTCCCTTTCCTGTCAACTGTACCTCAGCTACACTTTAGATGGATGCCCCTGAATCCCTGGCTTTTGTGCAAACTCTCAGAGAGGCCAATAAGCAAACTGAAATGGTGGAATTTGTAACGAGCATCTATCTAATGGGAATGAAAGACCCTGTGAATTCTTTTTTTAGGTTGTCAAAATTGCTATCCAACAGCAACAGCTTTCAGTTACACTGAATATGTGATGAGTCAGAAGCTTGATGTGACTGTCTTTACTCAGGCAAAATTCTCACTGCAGATTTGAGCCTTAGAGAGGAAAGCTCTATCACACATTACTATTCATATGAACCATCCATGTCCTGATCTGTTTCTATAAAAAGAGTTGCCTAAGAAATACATCTGAATCCTTTTTGGCAGATAAAATTCTCTACTTCCAAAATATAAGATCCCACTGAAATTTAGATCCTTGGATACTATTGCATGAAGTTAGTAAAGCAGTTGATAGCATGACCATTTTGAAGGTAGGTGTGGATCTGGTATCAATGATTGGTGGTAGCCTTTTTTCAGGGACCCCAACTTTGTTGCAAGATTAGGTCTAAGTGAAAAATTAAGAGAAATAATGCTTTATCTTTGTTTTGTTGCCAGTGGATATTCCCAATCTGCTTCAGAAACACAAAAGAAACTATCATGAATTTAAGAAGCTTTGGAAATAGATTACTCTTAATTAGAAATGAAACCATTTCAAGATTTAGGTATTCCCAATGTTGTATGCAAATACGACTGGAGTGTTTTCTGTTTTCCTTGAACTGGTCAGATTTCCAGATTCCTCCGACAGATTTTTATGGAAAGTATACTGTACTGAGAGTGTTCCAATAAGGTATTACAATATTGGAAATAATGTCCTGTTTTATATAATCCACTTTATTTAGGCAATTTTCAACTGCTCTCTATTGCAGGAATGTACCACTGATTTCAGAATAAAACACTTAACAATACAAATTTGTTAGACTAATTGTTTTTGAACTGCCTCTTATTGCTAAGGTTGTGTTCCAGCTACACTTCCCTTTCTGACAACATTATGGCTCTCTTTGGGAAGGGGATGGGGTGGTGGGGGAAGAAGAGAGAAAAGCATTTTTGTCACTTCCTGCATTTTCTAAATTGGTAATAAACATGGTTTTTTGAATAAGTTTCTTGTCTGTACAAGTCAATATTCATTTGTTGTGTAACGAAAGTAACAGAATTTGGTGGTAAATGTGGAGAGCAGGGTATAGCAGGGTCTGACTGACTGTCAGTTTGTTTGGGACTCAGTCCTTTAATTTATGCTTCTGTCATTTTACAATAATGGAACTAGACATGATTGTTTTAGTCACCCCTAACTCACGCAACTAAAAACACATTCAATTCATAAGACTTAATGAGGACCAGAAGAGAATGTATTTCCTATTTAGCGCAATGTTAAATAGGAAGAACACAAACCGTTTAAATTTTTTGCACTGTTCATGTAGGTCTCTGCATTACAGTTTACTATGCTACACTACAGCAGACAACAGACATGAAAGGAAACTTATATTCAACAAATTATAAGATGACCAGTTCTCGGACATGGATTTTAAAAATAGGCTCAAACTTCTAACATTTTAGAAATCAGCTCAGGAGTCTATAGTGGATCTTACTGTGAACTGAGTGAGGAAAGAGTAAAAAAGTCTGTCTCCACATGTAAAACAGAAAGGAAAGAATGAAAACCAATAATGGAGGCTGCACAGCTGAATTGGGATAAAAATCTTAACCAAAGATCCATTAGGACTGTGGCAAAATACTAGTTGAAGAATCTAGTTTGGAGCATTTCCAAAGAAAAACAACATGTAACTGGGAATTTAGCTGTGAAGCTTACAGTAAGGTATGTTAACTTGTGGAGAAACAGAACGTACATACTGCTTTACAACTGTTTGCGATAAGACTTGCAGTCTTCTTAAAGGTCTTCTCGAGGTAGTGAGTAAATCTCTCATTTTCATTTTCTTTGGAGCCCAACTGAAGGAATTCACCTATAAAGATGCAGGGACAAAGTCTTTATTTTTTAGGTTTATTGTTTAGACAAAGAAGTATAAAGATACAAATAGAAAAAAACCTTACCACGCACCAAATCTTCAATCACCTGACTTAATACCGATATAATAGTAGTGTTTCCAATTCTTGCTAAAGCAACAGAAGCTGCTGAAAGGATAAAATCCCCAGCTAAAACAGCCTGAAAAAAAAAAAAACAAGAGAAGATTTTTGGTTTTGGTTTTGTTTTTTTTAAAAGGTCTCTTCACATAAAAAATACTAGGGACAATCTGACTCCCTGTACATTATCCAGGTCTAGTCATATTAGATCATTTTCCACACAAAGTGTACATGTCTGACTGAAAGCTGGAAAAAGGAAAAAAATAGTTACAGTATTTAAATTTGAACCATTTTGGAGTTCCCATTTTACAGTGATCTCTTTTTTGCTATATATAGGGTTTTTCCTACTTGCATTATCTGAGTGTGTTTTACCTGCAAGGTAAAGAAATAAGTTTTATTCACTATATACTGTATCGTATGGTTACTATGCTACTGTTATTGTGTAATGTCAATTAGTTCTAAAGTGTCTTAAAAAACTTGGGAGTGTCACTGATCTCCGTCATCCCCCAGGACTTCCTGAATAATTTTTTTTCAAATGCTTTATGAAGCAGCTTAGTCATCTTACATATTTCACAAGAGAATGATAACAGCAAAACCTTTGCTACCTTAAGCCATATATTTAACATTATAAAGCCTGAAAATTCTAATGCTAGCATAAAAGCTCTTTTGGCTTGTTATTTCAACAGGGGAAACCAATACATGAGATGCTTAAAAGGAGGCATATTTTCAAAGCATTTCAACATGATTTTAGCTACTGTATGCAACTGTCATTAAAGTCAATAGGAATCACACAGTAAAAACATCTTCCCACTATACTTTGAAAATGTAGGGTTTGAAAGTTTATCCATTTTACCCCCTGTATGTAGGAATTCATACCATGTTCACAATTATGTGATCAGCTCAGATTGTACCCCTTTTTCTAAACAGCCCCAGCATCTACCATAGCCACACTCTGCTGCCAAGGAGAGAGACACTAAATATTAGCAACATGACAAATACAAATCTCCACTTTACCAGTGCTGTATACAATAACAGAGACTCACCTTTCTCTCCCCCCAGATTTGATTAACAGTCATTTTTCCTCTCCGAGAATTTGCATCATCAATGACATCATCATGAACTAGACTAGCAGTATGGATCATCTCTGCAATTATGGCCACAGAGCGTTGGCTTGCTTGCACCTCCCTAAAATTATAAAAACCCCACACACCTTTAAGTGTCAAGCAAGCATACTATGTGCACTGCAATATGCTCATGAAAAATCTCTATGGAAACTAAGAGAAACTATTATTTTTCAACAGCAGTGGTTCTCAAAACATTTTCATGTTCTGAACCTAACACTGACTGCCAACCTTCTCAACTCTGTATAAGCAGACAAGAGAAAAGTCAGATCATTTTAATAGAATGGGTGCAATTGGTTGGTTACATCTCCCCATTTTGTAGCAGTCTGTATATAGGCTTATTTCTGCAACACTGCAGTTAACGGGAGTTATGCCATTAACTTCAATGAGAGCTGAATCAGGCTCTATACATCTCTGTATATAGGGCTTCAACATCTTATCGCATTGCTTGCAACCCTCACTGCTCCAATATCTGCAAGTCAGGATACAGTTTGGTTCTGTCTTCCTGTGTTTGTGCTACCGCCCTTCCCAATTTTGATGTTTCCCACAAATTTGATTGTGGCTGAATTTACACCAAAGAAACACTTGGACAATGATACTTGAAGGAGCCACAGAATGCAGATAATTGTGAGTTCTGCTAGTCAAAAACATCTGAAAACTTTTAGTGTTCCCTGGGCTGGGCTACATTTAGGAAGAGTCATCACTATTTTAAAGTTGATATCCTTCCCTACTGTAACAGTAGCAGATGATTTCAAGATCATGTGAAAGTGTCCTGTAGACCATAGTTTGAAAAAACACTGCTCTAAGAAAATTACATTAAATGGTCCTGGTTTTACTGTAGTATCCTTTCTTCTGTTTATGCTATTTAAAGAACAATTCCACCACCACCACCCTACTCAGGAGGTCTGATAAATTTAGTAAATTTAAATGGCAGGTTCAAGAAAAATAAAAAGGCTGCAAACATGATATATAGCTGAGTGTAGGTCTGGAACTGAAATTTAAGTAAATTTTGCTGATAATCCATGAGCCAGAATAGATACAAGCTTACTCTTCCATAGCAGTGCAGGGCCACCACAGCTAAGTAGAAAAAAACCTAAGACTCTGAATGAACAGAAGGAACAGATTTGTTCTACAATAAGTTGCATTTTTCAGTCCCTTTTTTGACCATATTTTATAAATTTCACTTTTCTCTTCCCATGCAGCACTAGCAAGGTTTGTGTAATACAATGGCATACTTTACATGCAAAACATTCAAGAATCAGTTGAGGTCAAAGTTTGCAGGAGGAAAAGACTTTTCAAAAATATTATTGGCAACTTTTAGACATTAACTTTCTTTCCCCATCCATACTTGTGGGTGAAACATACATACAGTAGAGCCTCACAGTTACGAACTGACCAATCAACCACACACCTCATCTGGAACCGGAAGTACACAATCAGGCATCAGCAGAGACAAAACAAAAACAAAAAAAACCCGCAACTACAGTACTGTGTTAAAGGTTAACTACTAAAAAAAAAAATAAAGGGAAAGCAGCATTTTTCTTCTGCATAGTAAAGTTTCAAAGCTGTATTAAGTCAATGTTCAGTTGTAAACTTGACAGAATAACCATAACGTTTTGTTTAGAGTTATGAACAATCTCCATTCCCGAGTTGTTAATAACTCTAAGGTTCTACTGTAGGTCTAATTAAGAGCAAAATAACTGCATTAAAGGAATACTATTCACAGAATGTCCAGTTCAAGTGCAATCCTGATTTTTCCAAAGCATGGTCATGACCCCCAGGATTGTACTGTACTCTCTATTTTAGGTTCCGCAGCGTTTCTCAAATGCAGCCACCATGGCTGCATGAGGCCACCACAGGCTTTTCTTGCGCCCACAGCCTCCTGGGTTGTGATTGGGGGAAGGGGGCAAAGTACCAGCACTTCCCTCTCCCTGTTGCTCCTGGATGCACTGCCTTGGTGTTGGTTGCTGGGGCCACCAGCAAGGGTTGGGTCCTGCCCACCTCTGGAGATACCTGGGCCACAGTGCAGGAGGACCAGGCAGCCGGTGAGTTCCCCACCTTCCCAGGGGCAGTGGGGCTCAGGCTTTGGGCTTGAGCCCTGGGGTCGAAGGCTCTGACAGAGGGGCTTCAGATGCCATCCCCAGGCTCCAGCTGCGTGGCGGCAGGCCCCAGGTTCTGGATGCAGTGCTTCAGGCTCCACCCCCCGCTGCCTCCCCCGATCCACCATTCAAGGCTTAATTTGTCCCCAGGCTTGCCAGAGCTGAGTAAGTCTGTTGTGAAAAGTGATATTAACAAACATTCAAGTATCACTTTTCACAACAGACTCACTAGTTAGCAATAAATAAATTACAATGATTTGGACATGTATATATGCATATTTATTTGTTTTTCCTAAAGCTAATTACGTATTTTAGGAAAAAGCATGAGAGCAGCCACCAAAAAATTTGTCCTGAGAACCCCTGGTCTAGAGTGCAGTAATGAGGCACCAGACTACATGATGCCCAAGGACATCTGGATCCAAAGAGAACGCACTCTGGAACATAGCAACAAGGATACCAATCAACTTTGCAGAAGACAGTTTTAAAGGGATGCCTCAACAGCTGGACTGCAGACCCTTTAAAGTCTGCCTTATCTTCACTGTGCTCCACACATGGGAGGTCTGAATTGCAGACTCTCCAAAGCTGGTTGACAACTCACTAACATCTGGAGACATGACAAGCAAGCTTACAGATCTGTATTCTAGATTTGAAAAAGACACAGAACACAGCCTCCAAGGACTGCTGAACTAACTTTCTTGATTCCTTTAAGATTGTGGGTGTCTTCAGAGACTGAGATAATTGGGATTGTATTGCATCATTCATTATATCGGAATATGACCATGAAAACTTATCAGCCAAAGCCACACATTGATTGGCCAATTAAGTCTTTTGGATGATGTCACACCAGCGATTTAACTCCATGGTTCACAGCTGCTTATTTATTTTTTAAAGAGGTGAGGGGAAGTAATAAGAGAACATATATGGGGTTAGCTGGTGTATAGAGGTCACAATGAGGGAGCAGGAAAAGCAACATTTTCAAATCATTCCCTTCCTCAGAAGCGCTAACCTGCTTTTCCGGCAAAAGTCTGAAACCTTAAAAACGAGCCAATCATACAAATTTCCAGCAGAACCAGAATAAATTAAAGAGAAAACATAAAAGATCTTGTAATCACTTCAACTCATTATAAAAGGAATTTAAGTCTCGTTGCACATGGTTTAAATACATTTAAATTTAATAATCAGCAATGAAACTGGAAGGTGACATCTTGCCAGTCTGCTGACATAGGTGCCAAGATATTACCCTATTTTTATGCAGAGCACCTCATAGCTTTTAGTGGGGAATTTTGCATGCAAAACAATGGCAGGATATGGTCTGTAGTTTGTGAAAAAAGGAATCATTGTTCAGTATAAGAATAAAAGCTGGACACTTTCATGGTTGTTTTAAGATAGCTCTAATATGCATTAGAAACTTTGTTAGTTCAACACTTTAGTATAAATATTTTTCCATAAAATTATTTTTAGTAAATCATACAACTTACCTTAAAACAACTGTAAAAGTTTCCAGCCTCTTTCATGCATTCAACTGCTCATTGGAATTCCCTGTGTCATAAACTATGTCAGCAGACTGGACTTCCTGCTGGAAAGTAGCAGTAAAATGGCAGCGCTCATTGACAAACCAGAATGATTCAACGGTATGAAGATAGCACAATAGTGACAGACATTTCAAAAGCAAGTTTTGAAAGTTCTGTTTTAAAAGTACAGTTCTTCTCTGAAAAGTGACTTTGACTTTAAAAATGGCATTCTAGGGTTCATATTTACGGTGTCTCTGATTTCCGTATAAAATGTGCCAATTTTACAAGGAACTTAAAAAAAATTAGTATTTCTGAAAACTCAATCTGGACATCAAGCAAGGTGCTTTCAATCTCACACATCAGTAACAGTAATAAAGGTTCTGCAGGCCAAGTTATTCCCTCTGTGATGCTACTGGAAACCCTGATAGGAGCATAGTAAATTTTGTTGATGATGCTCAAGAAATAATAGGAACTTGGTCATTCTCTCTTAGCAGCTTTCCACTCTGCCATGCTAACAGAAGGAAAAAATTTTTTAGTGATTCAGGTCAGCAGATAATGCTGGATACACACAGACTGACTGAGGATGACGGTGCCATTTTTACAAAGTTCTCAGAGTAGAACCACACCACCATTTTACATATTATTTAGTAAATATGTGCAACCTTAACTGCCTTTTTGTGTATGTGCATTATGATAGCTTATAATTACACGATCACATTTATTTTTTTTTTAAAAGGCCCTCTGCTTTGTTTTGTGCACATACTGGACAGACAATAAGACAGGTTTGTATAGTGAACTGGTGTTGGGACTGCAGTACCCTTGACCTTTTCTACTAGTATGGTGTGCAGTAGACAGAGGCCTGCTGCAAGAGGCAGAATGATGTGGGTAAGGCAATGTTTCTGTATGGAACTCATTATTTACAACTTCACAGAGCTTTGTAACACTCTGCCTGGTAGGTAAGTACTGCTATTCTGATTTTAAGGATGGGGAAAACAGCAATGGGTGGGCTGACACCCAGTCCTTATGCGCTGACCACACCTCTCAGAATAAGCTTTCATTCCCTGCTGGGAATCTGTTGCTGGGGAGGAAGTGTGTACTTTCAGGAGTGTAAACCAGAAGTTGCAAGGGTGCAAGAGGGAGTTGGGGAGGCATGGATTAGGGAGCTGTCAAGGCAGCTACCTGATGCAAACAGCTGAACAATAAGCAATGTACATGATGATTGTGAGGAAGTGAAGATGCTGTCAAGTGGTCTTATACTATAACAATGAATGGAGTGTAAGAACCCATATAGATTGGACAGTGACAGAGGCATCAGCTTTGTTTCTCTTGCCCTTTGAGGGGGTCTATCTCCCTACTTTGTTTCTAAGTCTCTTGTGCTCACCCCATTTTTCCCCCTTTGATATTTCTGTATCTCCTCCTCCTCCTCTTTTATTTCAGTCGCTCTCTGAAGCATGGCTACAGCAGAGGACATGCATATTTTAGTTACAAGCTATAGGTGGTGTGTCTGGGAAACCAGTAGAGTGCAGAAGCAGAGGTCCAATCAGACAAAGTGATAATTCTCTTTAGTGATAATTCTGTGAGATTCTCCTATTGTGCATAACTCCAGGAGGATGTGTGAAAACACAGGATTCACACAATCCCAATTTAAACCCCTTACCAGGACTCCAGCTCTCACACATAGAGATAAATTTCAACAGTTAAAACAACAGACAAAAAGCTATTGCACAAGGGACCTAAACACTAAGGTTTGTATTTACGGCACTACGATCTTTAAAAGACAGGAAAAATCATACCATCGCTGAACAATTTGCATACTTCATCCACTGATCCTGTAATGAGGACACAAGGGATCCAAAATATTAACTGAGTGTGTAATTTTCCTTGCAGTGGCTTGGATAATGTGAACTTGCTGAAGGAAAAAGAAGAGGCTAATTTACTGAGAATAGTTTGGGGGCCTGTTTTTTTAATTGTACGAAATATGACCATGCCATCAATCATGCAAGCTGTTCTATGTGGGTGGATCCCTGCTTCTGCATGGAGCTCCAGTAGGATTCTGCCTGGGCACTGGGATCCATCCATGCAGAACACATACCAGAATTAGGGCCTAAGATTGTGTAAACTGATGTTCTGCTATTTTAATGGATACAGCGGGATCATTTTCCTTTCTACTGCTATTTACACAGCAAACAAGATTTTAACAGTGGAAAATATTTTGGATGCAGAAGGTTGTACAAGAGTTAGGACTGGCAGTTGGAGAAGAAGAAAATGAAATGCAGTGTCAGTAACACAACCCCTGGAGGCAGAGAGGAGGGCTCAGCTGATGAAAAGCAGAGCAAACTGTCTGAAGGACAGTGCCAGGGAAGGGAAAGATGAAGAACAAAAACCAGTAAAAGGGACCACTGAGAAAGTGGCAAAAAGAGATGAAAAAAATCCACCTGAAAGTGGGAAGTTACTTTTCTGTAAAAATTCTGCTTTTCTGAAGAGATCATCTGACAGGAGTCACAATCCTATATCTTTGTTTCTTTGCACGAGACTAGCTGAACTCTTAGCTCTCAAGGAGTTTTTGATCTTTGAGAGGGCAGCAGTAGCATGGTGAAGTATAATCAAGGTACCCTATTAATATTTGTGGGCTCTCTCCCCCTGCCAGATATAATGCTGCCCTCCAACTGTTCCAGTCAATTTCTTTGATTGCACAGAGGGGTGAAGCTCCTAGAAAGAAAAGTAAAGTAAAGTAAAAATGATCATTAAGATAAGACAAAAAATGCTTCAAAAGGAAAGATAAGAACCATGAGAAAAACATCTCAAATAGGTAAACTCCAAACATGAAAGGGAAGCGGATGCGTGTATGAGACTCACCCATGACGACATTTTCAGAGAAGCAAAACTATAGATTAATAATGTTCCCTTCTCTATAGGTACTATCTGTGCAGGATTCTCACTCTTGGATAGTAAAAAGAAATAACTTGCCAAAAGGAAATGAAAGCACAGCTGTAAAGAGCCGCAACAACAAAGCTAATGACTATGTGAACAGGAAATACATGTTTGTGTATACTTATCATATAGTATACAGTGACTCAGAAACCTCTCCCAAGTTCAGCATCAGATTAGGTATATGGCCTGCTAGAAAGACTTCAACACTGGAGAAAAGATCCAGGCAAAACTTGCAACTCATAAGCCAATATCACAAAATAGAACAAACTTTAATTTTTGGTTTGACCTCCCCTAGCCTGGAAACATGTATCAACATGAAAAACAGTATACTGCAGACTTGCATAAACGTACATATATACATTGTGTAAAGTCATCTAGATTTACCTAGAGAGAAAGGGGGATGCAGCAAGGAAGAAGAGAAGAAAGTGAAATCTTGGTATTTCATTCCTTTTCCCCTTCCAAAGCATTTCATTTTTCTCGCTACCCAACATTTCATTTCCAAAACATAGACACAAGGGAGGCAGTTACTCAGCCTGTCGGGACACAAACAGCTAGAATAAGGTAGGTGACAGACGCCTGAAATATCAGAAATGGTTCAGGAAGCACTGACACTGACTGCATGAAAATCAACAAGCAAAAGGTGCCAGGGACACCAGTCTCCATGCCAGAGCTTTTGCAATGAGAGAACAGGCATCTGCCTCAGCACAAAAAGCACTCCAGTATGCCGAGAATCATACTCCTGCTGATATGGGGGAAGGAAATGCCCGAAAACTGGTACAGAGAGTTTAATGTAGGCATCCTGTCTCACCACAGAGGAGCCTGTCCATGTCTAAAGGAGAACACCCCCCCAATCCCTCCATGTTTCTTCAGGACATTGAAGAACGGATGGCAAAGCCCACACCAAATCATCTGAGTTCATCTTCAGATTTATCAACCCAGTTTTAAAAAAAATCAAAAAAAAAATCAGCACCCACTTTGATAAGAGATTTTTCAGTTGCTCTAGTCTGTGTCAGGAATAGAGCATTAAGAACATTGTATTGCCACCACCAACTGAAGCAAGGGAAAGATTGAAGTTAAACTTATTTTTAAATTAGTAAAAGTGGAGTGGTGACAATAAATCATAATGTTAAGATGAATATAATGTGTAACTGATTAGAATTATAAGGGTTTAATAATAAAAATAATTTTGAGCAGTTGCAGCCAGGAATAACAAGGTGGTGATCACAGGGAATCATGTTTGCGTATGTATGTTTGTTTCTTTGTTATTTATATATATAAAGTTGTCATAAGAACTTAACAACAGCATCTTGCCTGTGACTGGCCATCGTATACGGAATGTAAGGTATCTCCCCATTGTATAATATTGCAATGTTGGGTACTTTAATGTGTTTGTACCAAGGAAGTTTACTTTGCCTTTTTGATAAATGCCTTTTGAAAGAATGTATGATGTTTTAGATTTATTGTGTCAAAGTTTATTTTTGTTTTCAAAAGATTGCTGCCTGTCAGTCCTTTGAGCAGAAGGCTGTATCCATGTCCTCCCAAGGGTCAGAGTTAGTCTGTCCTGGGAGTTTTCCAAAGATCAGAGAAAAACCCTGGCAATTCCTCTAGGGCAGGGCACCTCCTTTCACTTACCAAAACCAGACAAATTGAGGATTCAGTTAATGATCTAGGCAGGCCATTGTGGGGGTACTTTAAGTCTGATTTTGGGGGTAACAATCTGGTGTCCCTGGGTAGGCCCATAGCACTATTTGAAGCCTTATGGGAGGTATAGTACCCCCTAGTGGATAGAAGGACGATTGACACCAGGAAGTGAAATTTTTTGTTTTTACTTATTTTAGTAATTTTTTTTGTAAGCTAGTATTCTGAGCACTGAGGGTGAGCAGCCCCAAGAAAGGGGTTCTGTCCTAAAGAGACAAATACTAGTAAGTATTAGATATTGATGTGTTGAAAGCCATTGTGTTAAGTCAGAATGCTCAGATTATTGCCACCCAGAAAGAGGCCAGTAAGTGGCACAGTGGAAACAAAAACCGTTAGATGGGCAAGCTGCAGTGGAGGCTGTGATCACAAAGATAGAGGAAGAAAATAAGATTAGCCATGCGGTCTGTCAGTACCAAAAATGTACTCCAGAAAGTGAGCTGCAACTAAGAGAAAGAGTGATAATGGCTATAAAGGGGCCAGAAGGGAAAAACTGGGATAATAAGTTCGCTAAATGGTGCAATAAAGAGGAAAAGATGGGTCTTTGGAGTAACGATTTCTCCGGTTATACTATGAAAGGGATAACCCCAAGAAGCTCCCTCAGAGACTTTGTGCCATGGAACAAATTAGGGTATTGGGCAAGTCCACAGGTACCCTAAATTAGGAGTACAATAGCAAGTTGGTTGGCTAAAATGTCTGATATCTGTGAAACAACAGGAACAGATGTCTCAACCATGGTTGCAAAAAAACTAAGTAACCCTTGTATGTTTAAGTTAGAATCCAAAAGGTTAAAAGATTCCTCAGACCATGTTCAGCAATTGCCCCAACAGCACCTGGAATTTTGTTTTAGGGAGAAGGCTCAGCTTGAGAAGTCCACACTACAAGAAAAAAAGGTTTAAGGGATGAGCTGCAGATTAAAAAGCTGCAAATCACTTGTGATAAGCAATGGCTTAAAATAAGGCGCAAGACTGCTGCTTAAGGAAAACTGTCACAAAGGCAGAAGTAAATGTGGTTCTGAACCCACAGAACCAGCAGAGTCTGGCTAACCATGCATATTGCCAACAGGAAGTGACTTGCTTGCAGGAAGAGCTGCAAGCTATACAGGTAGTAAGCAGCACAGCTCAGGGAAGCGGTGTTGTGTTGAGCATTAAGAAAGTTGCGCTCAGAAAATTGGAGGAAAAGAACAGGGTTAGCCCAGTACAAGTTCAAAAAACTTTTCTGAGATAGAATCCTGAGTTGATTCAGGGAGGTACCATTGTGTGTAATGTAACACAATCTGAAGGAACATTAATTTCACAATTTGGTTTAACAATGAAAACAGTAGTAATGTTTCATAACTTAGATGCTGCTTTAGTGTAGGACAAGTTGTAGGTAAAATACAGAAAGGATGCCCACCCCAAGGAAAAAAAACCTAAAGAGGTATCAGTGGTAACCTTTCCAATAATGCTCCATAGGAAAAAGGAGCCAACATTGAAAACAAAATAAAGGGGAAAAATCAAGGAAAGAGGGCAAAAGTAAAAATGTTGCCTCTCATGAAAGGAAGAAAGTTCCTGATGTGGCTAAAAATTGGTTTGGAGAGAAATGTTGCAGAATGAGCCTAGGGATCAGATCCATCGACTACCTACCGAAGAATTGGTTTGGAGATTAGCCAGCCATGAAATAAGTATACCTACAGCTCCCACGCACTCCAAAGATCAAGTATAGGGAGGCCGAGCACCCCTATATCCCTGGTGTCAGCAAAAGACCATGCTGACTTAGTGACACATTTAATACAGGATATATGGGAAGACCAACAGTAAATGTGGTATTTAATAAGGGAGCATTTGGACAAAATATGCTAATAGACACAGATGCCACTTTTTCTTTAATTAGCACTAAGAAAAATAACTTGTTTGGATCCCCAGTAGCAATAAAAAGATTGCAAGAATTTAATGAGGCAGCAAGCACCATTTAGCCCCCAATCTGTTTTCAGTTGGAAACAAAATAGGGAATAGGACAATTTGGCCTAATGATCCTAGATGACAATGGTATAATGGGTATAGATATGTTGAGAAACCACCAAATAATAGTAGATTTAGTAAATAAAGTATTGTGTGAAATACCCCAAGGTAATACCTTAGAATCGCCAGTTACAACAGAAGGAGGGCAAGGATTGGGATCAAAAGGTTATTTTAAATATTAATAGCTATCAGACGAACAGTAGCTTCACATGGGGTAACCTCATTCCACGCCATAACTGCTCAGGCAATCTCATGTCTTGCACAACAGTGGGTAGTTGGGACACCCCCAGATGAGTATCAACCTAGGGTGTTAACGGATCAATGAATGCAAGTTGTTGAAATCTATTGCCAAAACACAAACAGATAGCAATAGCACTTAAGGCAAACATCAACTAAATGGATAAGAAGATCGGACCAATCCTACACCCACAGGAATAGCGAATGGGTGACATGGTCATGTACAGACATGTTAAAGAAAAGGATAATGTGCTTAGTTCAATATGGATGAAACCAGTAAGAATTGTAAACAAGGCCAGTCCTACAGTTTATCACCTAAATATTCTCCAAAGAAAAAAGTACTGAAGTGGTTCCATTCATCTCAATTAAAAATTCTATAAAATAAGTTGAAGCTATTATACTGTTAGTAATTTTAATAAGTTTTATTTGATAGGGAGAAAAAGTAAAAGCATAGTAAGATACAGCAGGAGAAAGCATGGTACGAGTTCCTCCCAGAGCTTACAACACAAAATACAGAGGAGTTCGTCAATTCCTTAGCCACGGTTGAAGTGGAATACCCGTATCTGAGAGCAGAGCAACATCCCAATGTAATAGCAACACTATCTGAGGATAACCAGGTGAGACCACTAATAAACATTAGTCTAGGAAAAAATTAGTGTAGGAAGGAAAAATTCAGCAGTTATGCTATTTGGATACACGATCAACATATTCA